AATGTAAATGTCATACGGCTAATGCGAAAACTTTAAACTGCCCAAACAAATGACGGGAAGACCCGGAGGCGGCCCCTCCTCCTAGTCCTCGAAATAAAAAGACAAAAAAATAAGACGAAACTTTGCCAAATTTGTCGCGTCATCCGGGCATTATCGCACATAATAATTGCCAGTGAAGGGACTAATGAATGACAGCACTTGTCAAGGACTCAAGCGGGTCCCAGAGGTTGTTTTGGAAAAAAAGGACTCCAGGTAAGGGACTTTATTTAGCAAAGGTAAGTGGTACCCTGGCGGGGTATTCAAATTTCAGTCAGAAGCTTGAAACGCAGTGAAGAATTCGTTTCCGACCCCATAAATCATATATATTCTTGATCAGCATGAAAAGCCGGATCGATCTAGCCATCTCCGGCAGGTACAAAAATTTTACAATTTTTTCACATTTTTATAATCATTAATTTTACATCTGTAAAACTTTAAAAATTGTGAAAAAATTTATTTTTTCAAACTATAATTTGGGTATGCAGATTTATTAAACTACTAAAAACTAACACGGGAAAGCTTTCCGAATTAAAATTAATTCATTTTTGGCTTAGTTATGAGATTTTGAAACTTTAATTTGTAGAGCAAATTTTCATATAAAATATAAATAAATATCCGCTTAAAAAATGGTATTATATTTGAAGTCAGAAGCTTATAACGCAGCAAGGAGTCATTTCCGACCATACAAATCATATATATTCTTGATCAGCATGAAAAGCCGGATCGATCTAGCCATCTTCCGGAGAAAAATTTTTTTTTTATTTTTTTACATTTTTATAGTCATTAATTTTACGTCTGTAAATTTTTTAAAATTTAATTTAAAATTAAAAAAAATTTAATATTCTTGAATCGTTACATTGGGTTTGCAGATTTATAAAACTATAAAAAACTAATATAATACCGCTTTCCGATTTAAAATTAATGCATTTTTGGCTTAGTTATGAGATTTTTAAACTTTGATTTGTAGAACAAATATTCATATAAAATATATATATCCTTGTAGTGAGAAGCTTGTAACGTTGTCAGGAATCATTTCCGGCCCTATAAATCATATATATTTTTGATCAGCATCAGCTGAACCAATCTAGACACATATATAAATATTTATAAATAAAAGTTTCCGCAGCAGCAGTAGTAGTTTTTACTTAAAGCTTATGTTAATTTTATTATAAAACATAAGCGTTATCTTTATCTCTCTTCCAATTTAACTATCAATTGATTTACGAAACTTCTTCAAGTTATCAGTACCAACTTCTTACGCTGTGGTCAAATTATGGGAAGTTTAACGATAAATTTGATTCTGAGAGCAGGTAAAGTGGGCAACAAAACTTCGGTTGTACTTCAAAACTGGTAAAAGGCTGGTCAGCCTGTCGAAAGAGTCCTGCGAAGGGCGAATCAAACTGACGAATGTCTGGCAAAAGCACATACACAGCCATCGGCAGCGAGTAATTGGGATGGCAAAGTGGCTGCGAGACTCCCAGACTGCCAGACTTGGGTACTGGCAAAAAAGGAGCAGCAAATTGTGTCATTTTCCGTTTATCTGTATCTGCAAGTTTGTGCCGCTCAAACTGCCATTGAATAAAACGGGGATTCGAGCTGTGAGGCATCCGAAGGATCCTGAGTGTGGAGAGGAGATGCCAGTGAAACGGAAGCCGCGATTAAATACAAATAAGGCATTAAGTGCAAAGGCGCTGAGGCGCATAATACAAATTGCGTCGATTGGGAGGGAGGGAAACCCCCGCTGATTGGGGTACCGGGGAAGTTTGTCTGGATCCTTGAGTCCTTGCCGGCAGTTACACTCGAAGCGTGAGAAAACAGCGGAACGAAACTATGTTGTGTCTGTCAACTACAGACTTGTGACATCTTTAAGATTCAATTTCCATTAAAGTTGGACTTTAGGAGGATAAATACGTTGCTTTAGTTTGTTATTCATTTAAATATTGTTGATGCTTACAATATTTTCTATAAGATATTGTACTTTGAGGTATAAAGTATAAATACTTTAATACAAACTTTATTAGGCAGAGTTCCTTTAATAAACTTTTATCTATACATCTCTGCTGAACTTTGTTTAAAGGAACTTTGCTTGTGATATATCTATACAAATGTAATATTTAAGATTCTTCTCGAATTAAGGACTCTAATTCTTGGGTCAGGGAATATAGCAGTCAGCTTTAGCTTGTTGACATTTTTTATTCATTTCTGCTTTGCCTTTGCCAATTTATGCTCGGCAATTGCTCAGCCCATAAGTAGGCAACGAACGAGGAGAAGCGACTTTCATTCGCATCTCCCATCGGCAGGACTCTGGCCAGGATGTGGTGGGAGGCGGACAAAGACCATTACACTGCGGCTGGACGCGCTTGGTGGGGCAAGGACCTACTTCTAGGACAAAACCCAGGAGGGAGGACTGGCAATTGAAAGTGGTCTGGAAAGCTGGGCTTTAAAAATTTATGAATGTGTTTGAATGCGTGCGCCTGGTATCCTGTCAGGATGAGGGGTAGCACCATCATCCAAGGCCGAGTCAATGGATGCAAGTATGCCAATTTATATTTAGCCCCGGCTTCTCATCCACAGACAAGCGCCCTTCTCTGGTTCACTATGATGTTGAGTTTATATATGTATATATATATAGATATAGATATATTCATTCTTCAGCCAGCTCTCGGCCAGCTGCACAATTTTGCGGTTCATTTAATATTTTTTCGTGTTGTTTACCTGGCCAGGCCCGCTCGCTGGCTCGTCCAGTGGCATTGGCATTAGCATTGGCATTAGTATTAGTATTGGTATTAGTCTCGGCATTAGCTCCGCCATTAGCCGCCTCGCCGCGGGCTCTTTGAAGCTAACGAGCTGCCATGGCAATTACAGGCAGGGGGGAGGTGAAGGGAGCTGGCAGACGCTGGGTCCTTCGAGTCCTGCCCTCCAGCCAGGTCTCCTCCAGTTCACCGTTCACCGTTCACCGTTTTCCTTTTCCATTTATATTTTATTTGCAAGAATTGTTAGCTGCCGAAACAGAAAAAACCGTTGCGCCAAGTCATCACAATATGAATAAGTCAACGTTCGGTTCGAGCGTTGGCTTCAAATTGCCTTTGTCAAGGGTAGTGAGAAAAAATTCGGTTATATTATATATATCCCCTGAATAGATTAGGATAGAATATTAAATAATTCGATAAAATATTAAACCACCTTTTAAAATAATTAAAACGGTCTTAAAGGCTCCTAAAAGGAATTCAATGAAGCCTCATTTCTCGTATTACTCATACGCTTGGTCTATCCAATGTCTTTTTAAAAGGAAATACCTCATTACTATTAATAAATTTAATTTTAATATAAACTTCTACCTAACCTATAGAACAGTTATTACACTAAAATCTAATAATAATAACTTAATTCATTTCATTCGAAATCTTTGTTCTTTCATTGTTTCTTTTGCTATTTCTCTAATGTAAAATGCAAACATTTATTTTAAAATTTCAGTTATTCAGGTCAGAAATATCAGATCTTCATTTTTCTCATAAAATATATTTACTTCTTTCCGCTCAGTGTACTTGTGTAAATGTATGAGTGTGTGTTTATGTAGTTGGTAGGTGTCAAGCACCTGAACTGAACTGAACTGAACTGAGCGCGGCTCAACTGAATTCAACTCGAACTGAACTTAAACCGAATTGAATCGAAACTGAACAGGAATAACGCGGTATAACCCTCCTGTCAATAATGTGTATGCATTCCGGGTGTGTGTGTTGTGTGTGTGTGTGTGGATTCAACAGGGCGTGCAGTTCCAATTAAATCCAAGCATTCAATTACTGAAAAGGCGACAAATGCACACAGCCACCGGCACCTCCGCATAAAGCATTTCTTTTATTTATTTATTTTTTATATGTTTCCTTTTTTTTGCATTTCGACGATGAGAGCATCGAATTCACACATTCACACAAAACTTTTCCTATCAACGAGGGAAAAAGCCAAACCCAAAAAGTGGAAAATCGGCGTAACTTTACAAACAAACAGATTCTCAAATCAAAAGGTTTTCGATCAGATTTTTGAGAACTTATTTACTTTAACCAAGGTTTAATGTCTCAATTTTAAAAACAAATCGCCTGGGAGATATTGAAATCTGTCTTAATTTTCCAACTTATTAAGAACCTTCCTTATTGACCTATATAATATATAAATCAGACAAACTTAATGGTAAACAACTGGCACACCTGGCCAAAACTAGTTTCCTCGGCCAAAAAACATTCCATTTTCTCGTTTTGAATTGATTAAAACCGACAGCCGCGAGTTCAGCGAGAATCGGAATCAAATCGAATCCACAGGCTGGGAAACAATGCTTAGGCAAAAATATATATATATCCTGCCAGGGGTTTCCTTTTTTATGTCCCTGTTGTTGTTTGGATGCCAAACTATACAAGGTCCATATGCGGATGTTTTTTCCACTTTCACAGCAGAAGCGGAAAACTTGCGATGCGATGAGTTGAGTGGCAGCGGGAAAACAATTTTACAGGCTGCATGGAAACGGGGACATGGGGATTGAATGGGTGTGGGGAGAGAGAGAGGGAAAGGGGGAAGGATATAGAGTCCTGTCTAAACAGATTTCCTGTCCATCCTCATTCCTGAATATTAAATATTTGAAATACTTTCAAGGATTTTAGCAGGAACTAAATAAAGTGCAGTTGTTCGCAACTTTAATGCAATAGCTAGAGATTCAAGTTTTTTGAAAACGTAATTGAAAAATTCATTAATGAAAAAAATAAAGATATAGATAGAATTAAGGATACTATTAAAAACTATATCCAGATTTTGACAGGAATTTATATTCTTAAATAAAAGAGGAAGGAAAAACTATCAGTAGGTTTATAAAACATTTACTCTTATGTAATACCCTGCAACCAAATAATAAACAATCTAAATGCAAAATTCATTCAGAAATATGAATTGTTAATTCTTGGGTAACATTATGCTTCCTAACCAATATTAAAGTTCAAAGCTGGAATGGGAATCGCTTTGATCACCGTACTTAAATCTACTGTACTCCACTTTTCCTCCAATATCTCGATGGTGTGCTCCTTGTTCCTCTCCAGAAAGGACTTTGACCAATCGCCTTTCAGGCAGCCATCATCGCAGTTGCAGCCGAAGGGATTGCAGGGACCTTGGCCACACCAGGTGCCCACCAATCCGGCTCCATTGGCGCAGATGGTAATGGAGCACCTGTCCGAGCCATGTCCTCCAACGGCGCCGCAGGATGCGTCCTTAACCTTGAAGGTCAAGTCCAAGGATGAAGTGCAGCAGTCGCCGTTGACGCTGGCACTCAGCCAGCAGATCGCGATAACCAGAGATGAATGAATGAATGAGGAATTCATCTTGAAGAGGCTACGGATGTAACTGTCAATCTTCTCCATAAAAACTCGGCTATTTATGGCAGCTTTTGTTTACTTTATCACTTAACAGAGGGATTTTTTAAGCATACTTGTTGAACGTTAAGCATTAAGTCAATAGGTACGAAAGGTAAAGGTATCTTAAGGTAATTGACCCACAAACATTGACATTAATGTAAAGAGTACTTTGACCTAATGTATGTTTTTCTCTGAATTTAAGTATAGAGCATATATTTAAAAGTAAACTTTCAGCTAAGGTATTTATTCATATTATTCATATTATTCTGATGAATATATTAGCCATTTTTATACACCAATCCAACTGGTTATCCATATATTTATTCAAAGACTGTATGAGCTTGTATGAAATGCACAAACAAAACATTACATGATTAATCTTTAGCTCTTCCTTATCACTGAACACCTGCTTTAGATGATAATGAGCAATAAGATTTTGGTTCAAGTTTAATGACCGCATCCGTATCTGCTATCTAGTAGAGACCTGTCTGTAAATGATGATAATCCCCTCCTTAATTTATTAGTTATTTAATTTCCTATCGCTTTACTTTGTAAGGTGCTTTTGATTTATGTTTTAACAATAGCATCCTTTATCTCTTACAAAATAAGAACGCAAGTCGAGGTCAGAAAGTCATAGAAATCAGGGAACAGAGTATTGAAATGTCTCATATTGTTGATAACTTTCCAAATAAGAGAATAATCACAACAATAGAAGGAGCAAGTGAAGATCTATAATAATGTCGGATTAATGTCTATAATAATGTCTGATAACGAACACATTTAATATAATAACTGATAACACACATTTTCCACATTTATTTTATTTAAATTTACTTATGGTTTCTTTTTACAAAACTGATCAAATTTGCGGGTAAAATCCATCGAAATATCACTTAGTCCCAGGACTATTTAGGTTCGTAGTGCCAGAACGTGTCCCTTACTGAAATGTAATATTCATTGTTTTTAGCAAGAAAGTCCTTGGCCCAACGTCCTCGAAGGCAACCGTCGACGCAATCACATCCGTCTGAATTGCAGGTTCCATTGCCGCAATGACTACCCATCATCACCTCTCCGTTGGCGCAAATGGTGATCGTACAGGATTTATTGTCTTGTCTGCCACCAACAGCTCCGCAGCCCACGTTAATGATTTGGTAATTAAGAGTTGCCTTGGTGTTGCAACACTCGGAATTAACGACTCCGATTAGGGTGAGCCAAGTGGCAGCAGCAATGATCAGTGGAGCGATTATGAAGTATCGCATCTTGCAATGTTTTCGCTAAAACTGATCCATTTTCAACGACTTTTGGTATATATAGGAGGTCGGAATACCGCAGGGGAATCCCCTGCAAAACTGAGGTTATCAAAAGTAGCCTTTCAATGAGAGCGTTTTATTTTAGCATGTCTTATCGCTATATATATTCAGCGAATCTCTCATTAAGACAAAATACAAAAGTCCAGAGAATATTACGTTCATTACTAAATTGTATTTTAATTCAAAAAACATGGGTTACATCATGTTCCTTAATTTCTTGTTTTCTTCTAAGCAGTCATGCCCTTTTTCTTGACCACCCTTTTTGGTCCCTGACCCTTAGGCACAAAGTTGTTTTGGCCCCATAAAAAAAGAAGGAAATCATAAACAAATGCAGGCGGACATTAAACTCAGGCACACACTCACATGGCGAACATAAAATGTGGGCACTGATTACATTTGCATACGAGTATTACGTATACGAGCCAGAATATCGATGCAAGGGTTAGAGACAGAGGGAAAGAGAGGGAGCAACGCTCCTGTTTATCCAAGGAATTTAATTTCCAACTTTGACTTTGGCCAGCCGGTGCCATGGCCGAGCAAAGTTCGTTCGCTGCCTGCTGGAAACTTTGTCCTGTGCCGGTGATCTAATAAAAGCACCACGGCGGTGCCATGTGCCATGTGTGTGACACTTGTGGAGCTGGTAACTGGGATTATCCTGCACTGCCGAGTGAACTTTAAATTATGTAATTCAACACATTGCAGGTGGGCGGCATGGAAAACAGGACCAGGACCACATGCAACATGCAACATGCGACGTAAAGCAGGCAGCAACACACACTTACGGGGCACGTAGCAAGGACACTGAGAGAAAATGACCCTGTAGGATACATAAACCTAGAAATAAGCTGTGAATTTTAACCTCTCAAGCGGTCGTAGAACCTATTATCATACCAGAACTTTAAAATTAAATACAAAGTCAAGGAAGTCCCTGATTTTCCTCAGTATCCGCATAAATTGAAGCCCTGTCCGCTGTTCGCCATTCGCCGCTCACAGCTCGCTGCTCCTTGTTTCGCCTTTTGTCGATGGATGAATATGCCCCACCTGGGAACCCCGGATCCACGAATTTCAATTAACGTGCCAACACGAACGAGTTGCGCCCTGCGGCGGTGCTCTCGCCCAGCCAATTCTGCACCTTCTCTCCACCTGTTTGATGATACGCAATAAATTTCCCAAAAAAACGTAAAGAAAACCATTCAAGAAAAACCAACGAGGAGTCTTAAAATACCCTGTTATCGCTGAATTGCGTAATCCCCTTTGGAATATATACATATAAATATTGGTAATATATTTTCAGTTTAAATAGCTCTTCCCCCGTTGCACTTTTCAGCTTATTTTTAATCTGAGCAGCGATTAAAGTGTGACAAAGCGAACTCACTCCCACTGAGCACTGATATGCCTTCACCATTATACATTAATTTATATATATTATTATTTCTTCCTCCAAGTGTGGAAAGCGATTTCATCTAAATTGCATTGCGAATGAAAATCATTTATAAGCGTTAAATAAAAACCAAAGACAGAAGACAAATCGCGGAAGCGATATGATTGGATTGTGTTCTTTTGAGAAAAAAGTCGAATAAATGGCAGATAAAGATTTATGTTAAGATGTGTTTTGTGTGGGGAAAAAGCTTATAAAAATGGAAGGTGAAGACAAATAGCTCAGGTAACAAAAGTGGAGGAACCCCAAAGAGGAGCAGAATTTCAGCTGAATAATAATTAAATATACGATTAAGTTAATACAAAAACTTGGATTTTATATCTTACATAATTTCTTCTCTTCTCTTCTCTATTTCTAATAGATTTCCTTAAAGAATGGTATCAAATATACCAAATGTCAAATAAATATAAAGTGCTCATGAATATATTCTGTATATATTTGCATTTTAACAATAAAATGGAGTACAAAGTATTGTATTGTATTTAAGGAAAACTTTTACTGATTACTAATTTTACTCATTTTTTAGATACGCTTTTTAAGGGCATTTATGGCATGTAAAAATTAACCACCAAAATAATTAAACTGAAATAAAATGCCTATTAATGCATTTAAAAAAGACCGCAATGTTTTCCAATTTTTAATAAACATTCCATTCAAAATAAAAATAAATACTCTTTTAAAATAATTAAAAAAATTAAAATTGAACTATTTAAATATTAAACTTGAAATGTAAATTATTTAAAGTTAAAACCACTCAGTTTTCCCAGCATTAGTGATTCTATATTCTCTGCTAACCTTCTAAATTCATTTTCCTTGCCTCCAAAAAATGCTGACCACAAATGTTGCCTGCAGGCTTTAAAAATGCCATTTCGATTAGGCCAGAACCATCTTCATCCAAATTAAGACAATATTTGATGGTACTTGAAAAAAGAAAGCATGATCCTAGAATCGATTTAGATAGGATAACTGAAAATTTAAGCAAAAATGTTTTACTGGGTGAACGAACTCAGTCGCTTGAGGCTGCGTGCTGAGGTGTTGCATGTGCCTCGTTGGGAAAATATATACTTAAAAGGCAAACGTGTGCGGGTGCCAAGCAAACACACATCCTTGGCGGCAAGGACACGCAGCAGGAGCAGGAGCAAAGTCAGGCAAGTCAGGCAGCCAAAGCTTATTTTACAAACGCCAGAAGGCTGACTTGAAAGTGAGCTTAATGGGCGACGTGAGAGGGGAACAAGCTCCTTTCTCCTTTCTTCCCAGCTATATCCTTCGCATATCCTGCTGCCTGCCAATCTGGGCGTGTGCGCCTATCATTGGATTACGGCGATTATCTTACTCAAATATCATTTTGCACGAATGCCAACCACAATTTCTAAATTTCCCGCGATTATATTTAAGGTGTTTTCTCTCTCTCTCTCTCTCTCTCTCTCTCTCTGTGTGACCTCTGTGTGGGCGTAGAAGAGGAGGCGTGGCAGAAGCAACGGTTGCGTGCCGCTTTTGTGGCTACCGGGTAATCAGCCAGGTAATCGAGGGGAAACGTACACCGAAAAAAAGTTTTGTATTAATAGGTTCATTTTTTAAGTTACAAAACTTTAAAGGGTCTTATTTTGTGTGTTTGTATGTATGAAATTAAAATGTAAAAGTAAGAAAGTAAGTTTATATACTCTTGCAACTTGCAAATGAATTATAGAATCGGATCGCAAATCGATCATAACTAGGCTAAAATAGATTGTTTTTCTAGGAAAATTTTCAAAAATTCAATATTTAAAAAAAAAGATTTAATTTTCATTCGGAAAACGTGCCTATGTTAGTTTTTCTCAGATTATTAACCTGCATACTCAGTTTAAAATTTTAAAAAATTAAATTTTTTTCTAATTTTTAACAATTTTAACCCCTTAAAAAATGTTGAAAAAAATTTAAAAAAAATTTTTCCTTCGAAGGTGGCTAGATTGATTTGGCTGTTGATGCTGATTAAAAATATATATGATTTATAGGGTCGGAAATGGCTCCTTTACTAAGATTTAAGCTTCTGACTAAAATTAAAATACCCCTCAAGGGTATAATGAATAGTATGTGAATATTTATGATAAATAAAATAACAATTCAGAAAACCACATAAAATAAGAAAACAGAGTAATAAGGTAAAGGCTCATATGTAAAGTCTTTTAGGAAAATATAAAACTAACTTCTGGAAACCAAATAAATATCTACTTTTATAGAAAAGCTTCTGAAAAATATTTTAGCTGATGAATTTTATTTTGGGATCTCTCAACCACAATAGCGACAGTTCGAAAGGGAATTAATACTCTCAGAAATCATTAGGCTTCAGCAGTTTCTTTATTTTCACCCTTTGCAGAACCTTTCCTTGTTTAAGAAACAACAAAACTTTCAATTATCAATTGTAGTCGTTGTTTCCAATTTAATTCTGAAGCAAATCAAGGCTGTTTGTTATTCTGACTGTGCAGGGTCTGGTCCACAAGTCCACAAGTCCAAAACCAAAACCAAACCGAAACCGAAACCCGGACGAACTACTGACTGGCTATTTACTTTTATGGCTTGTTTGCCAGCTCGTGAAAACTTTTGGCCCACACATGGCCCAAGTGACCCATTAAACGAATTGAAAATGAACAACGCAACCGAACTCGAACTCCAACTCCGACTCCTTTTGTACCACGGCGCGTATGTGTAATAAATTTTGATTGAGTTGCACTGCATTGCAGCTTAGGAGAAAACAGAGTCCTGGGCAGAGATTGCTGCGGCGAAAGTTGTGGTCATTGCGGTCCAGCAGATTTCATTGAATCCGAATCCGAAATCCAGAATCCAGAGAGCACAAAAATCCCAATATGCCACAACTTTGGCCACCCAGAAAACCAGAAAACTTTGTCCATAAGCACAGCCATGAAGAGGCCACAAGTGAAACAAAACCAAAATACAAAAATACACAAAATAAACAAAGAAAGGCACGCCAAAAGAAATAACAAAAGCTTTTCGGCATTTGCCACTCGTGGCCCTTATGGCGGCAACGTGGCGTATACGCAATATGCAATTAACTCGACCATTTCCACTCCGGTTACGCTCCGCTGGCACACAGGTGCAAAGTGAAAATGTTGCCAATTAATGTTAATTAAATTCATATTTGTGCACTTTTTGAAGTCTGCAATTTTGCTTCATTTCCTTGAGTATTTATGGCAGCCGAAACAGGGATTAAAAAACGAATATTTTGTGGAAGTGAAATATTAAATAATAAAGGAAAGGTTTATATAAAGTGTTTAAAAAGAGACTAAATCGTTTTGTTACCTTACTTATTAACTAGATATTTAAGAATAACTCACTGTATCCACAATTAACATTCAAGATAAAAACATGTTGTATTTCTTACAAATTTGATTGTTTCAGAAAGGGAAGTTGGGGTGGAAAGTTGCTTAGAATATGCACTATGCATAAACTCTTGGGCAACTTGCATAAACAGCTTCCCTAAAGTCATTTGCAACCATTGAATTCCCGCTCAGTTGTGTGTATAT